CTCTTTTGTAGGACCATCATTGGCGGGCCAAGATAGATGCTGGACGTACGCCTGGAGGGATTGGAGGATTGGCGCATCTGATGCCCAATCAGAGTTGAGCCCCTCGACGATATACCTGCCTTTCTTCCTGTTATTACTCTTATTTTTCTGTATTTCATATCGTCTCATTGATTTCCATTGTTATTGCAATAGATTCAAAGACCTGGAGGCCCCGCATGAGAGACCAAGGAGCTCTGAAATTAATGGCACAGACTATCATACTCTCTTTAGCTTCACAGTTTCCCTCAGACTTTGGGTTGCTCGCAACCCAAAGTCTGAGCCATACGAGGTCGCTCGGTTCGCAGGGGTTTCTACTTGGACAAGCAGCCACGGATTCAGACAACGGATTCAACTCAACCCGCAAGGGGTTTAGGGCTTATAAGGCTAAAATGCTGGCATGAGGTTTCGGGCAGCGACTCAGTGACAGAACTTGTCTTAGCGATAGCGACACTTATATACCACGAGCTCTATGATGCTACATGTTGCGAGTAGTGATGGATCTGCTTAGCGTTTTTGAGTGCAGCATTCTGCCGAACCCAGGTCTTAGTATAGTAACCCCAAACCCCAAGCAAAAAAAAACCCCAAACGCCCTGAACCCCAAAATCGTGCATTGAAGATGTCATCGCCTCCGCGTTTAAGGTGCGTGATTCGCATCTCGGCGCGGGTGTCGGCCTGGAATTGCCATTGCAGGCTCATGGGGCTGACGCTAACACTCCTGAGCCTAATTTGAGCTTTAGATTAGGGTTTAGGGGCTCAGGGATTTAGGGTCAACTGTTGAGGGTAGAGTCAGGGTGCAACCCTCGCGGTTCTGGTTTGAGCTCCTTGACCCCACACCCTGAACGGCTAAGCCCTGAACCTAACTGAGCCGTGGCGTGGGGTCGGCCTCTGGGGTTTTTAACATGATGGTAAGGAATATGGGAGCTTCCGAAAAGAAGGGGGTACCTTATTTTGGGGTCCTTATAATAAGGATCCTACTATTAAGGGTACTATATTATATACTATATTATTAGGGTCCCCTATTTTCGGAAACCCCCATATCTACACCCCAAAAGAAAAAGGTACCTTCCCGTAAACGCTCAATCCCCAAGCAGCAAGTGCGTGGCAACAGCGCGCCCTGACTCGTTGAACCATCCTTAGCCCCGAAACCTTAACAAACTGTGTCAGGTCGCTACCTCGGAAGCTAAGAATACTGTAAGGGAACTAGAAGACTACGAAAAAAAAACTACGCAGGAACTTCAGACGCGCTGCTAGATTTTCTATAAGGGAACTACGGGTACCATAATGAACAGGCAACTTAAGGGTACAAAAGAGAACTCTATGGGGTACTGTGTTTTAGGGTCAATGGGGTTGGGATCCTTACTGCAACGACTCCTAAACCAGATGCCCGTGTTCGACGAAGCATTGATCGAGGCTTTGGGTTCAGGGCTTTTAGGCTTAGGGTTTTCGGTTTAGGGTTTTTTCCCAAGGGTTTAGTTCGCCAACGCAGTTTTTGGACTGTGCAAGGTGTCCCGGTCATCTCTCAGTGAAGCCTTCCTCTCTTTTAATGGGACTGCTGCTTTAAACTCTTTGATGCTATTGTTTTCGGTACTTGAGCCGGCGCCCTATTGTTTGCTCTTCAGGGGCTCTCCCTAGACTGGTTTGGCCTATTTTTCCTGGGCTCTTCCTGGGCTTTTCTTGCCTCTTGCTGAGGCTCTTCCTGGGTGCTTTTACTGGACTCTTCCTGCGATCTTGCTGGGCTCAGCCGGGCCTGCTTCTTGGGGCTTTCAACTCAAGCCCAACCCCAACCCAGCCCCGGCCGATCACAGCGCCAGCCCCACCCAAGCCTTCGCTCCAGCCCCAATCCACACCTTTTCCTTGCTCCTAGCCTCCAGCCAGCGCTCCAGCCAGTTATATAGCCTTCAAAATTGAATTTTTTGGCCCTTTCCAGAGGCCCTTCCAGGCCACCAAAATTGGGTTTTCTTGACTATTTCCGAAACTCTTTCCCAGCCCTGAACATTGGATTTTTGGCTGTTCCCAAGGCTCCTCCCCAACCCTCAAAATTCAACTTTTCGGCCCTTGCCAGATGCTCTTCCAAGCACCCGAAATTGGGGCTTTTTGCCCTTTCCAAGCCCTCTTCCCAGCCCTCAAAATTCAACTTGAGCTTTTTGGCACTTTCCAGAAGCCCTTCCAGCCACCAAAATTGGGTTTTGTTTGTGTCCATTCCGAAGCCTTCCCAGCCTTCAACATTGGTGTTTTTGTCCCTTTCCAGCCCCTTCCCAGCCTTCAGTTGAGCTTTTTGGTGTTTGGTCCTTTCCAGGGTAGGGCGAGCTTAAGCCAAGGAGTTCAGGATTTCGACTCTCACAGCAAAGCGATGTCAGGTTCGTTAGTAGTAGCTGTGGATTACGCGACGAGGCTGCTTCAGAACAGGATGGGAGGAGGGAGGATTCAGAGCCAAAGAACCTGCAATTATATCATACCATAATATCTGGCCGCATTTTATCTTGTGCTTTGTTTTGCTATGTTATTGTGGTATAGTATAATAAAATATCACATAACATTACACTTCCCCGAAGTCAACTGGTATCTGGAACGCTCGTGAACTGAGAGTCGCACAGAGGATATCCTCGGACAACTCTTGCGGGTTTAGGGTTGTTGCCCCGAATTTCAGTGCCTTAATAACTGGAATAGGGTTTTGGGGGGATATTGCCCTAACTCTAGCTATACCTGCCTAGGCTATTGCTTGGGCCAAAGCTTAGGGTTTGGGGGTTTAGGGTCTTTCAGGCCTGGTGTCAGTCTGTAGCAAATCCTCCTAGCCAAGCTAGCCGAGACTGCAAAGCCTTCGGCCTTTAGCCCTCCAGAGGTGCAACAGCCGAGGCCTTCTCTAAGTCCTGGGTCCCGTTGCAGTTCATGGGTTTAGGGCCTATGGGCCTTTGTTTGAGGGGATGCAGCGCGCACATGCCCTCATGCCCAGCCGGCTGCGCTGCATGTCCAAACTCAAGCACTAAGCCCTAAACCGCTGAATTTACACAGCCTTCTTCCATGTCTTGTACCATTGGAGTCAATGTTCTTTGTTTAGGAAGGTCCGTGCGAGGATCCTGGCATATCGGCTTCTATCTCTGGTCTCTAAGTTCCGAAACTCCCATATCGGTCTCCTGAAATGCTCGACAAACCAAGCCCAAACCCTTAATTCCTAAACTCTCAACATTCACATCGCTGGATCCAACACCCTCAAGTCCTAGCTAAACCCTTTTCCGACGCTCTCACCCTAGCCTAAACCCTAGACCCTAAACTTCTAAACCCTTTTCCGACGCTCTCACCCTAGCCTAAACCCTAGACCCTAAACTTCCCAACTAAGCCCGATCCAGCGGAGCACTGTGGAATACTGGAACTCACCCGCCCCCAAATCTCTAAACCTGCCAGTAAGCCCACAGCCCCAAACCAAACCTTTCGGTCCGACTCTTTAGCCTCAAACAAAACCCTACAAAGCCAAACTCTGCCCTCAACCTCGAATAAATCTGCAAGCCCCAACTATGAACCAAACATGGCCCCACTCCTCAAAAAACCGAAGACACATCGCCTTCCAGCCCTCAGCAAAACAACCAAAGCCCAAACTAACCCCACTGAACCTTGTAAGCTAAACCCCAACCCCAACTCAGCCCTGATTCCCACAGAAACTTGCGGGGAAAAAGTCGGACCAGCGAAAGGGGTAGGACTTGCCTTAACCCCCCTCACACCTGCCTTTTTGAGGGCTCCCTCTATTTCTCTTTCAGAGAAAAGGTAGGGTTTATCCCAAACCCAAAACCCTAAACCCCTTTGCATCCAGGACTCTCGCAACCAGCTGGGAAACTCCACAAGACAGCAAGTCAACCCTCCAGCAGCACTCGTGGCTATAAAGGATCGAACGTACGCGATTCACTAGCCCGAAACCCCTAAACCCTAAACCCTAAAGCCCGAAACCCCCCCAAACCCCATAAAAGCGTTAAACCCTAAGAAAATCGGACCCTAAAGCCCGAAACCCCCCTAAACCCCAGAAAAGCGCTAAGCCCTAGAAATGGGGGTTTCCGAAACTAGGGGACCCCAATATAGAACCCTAAATGGTAGGATCCTTATTATAAGGACCCCAAAATAAGGTACCCCCTAATTTTCGGAAAGTCCCATTACTCACCTAGTATCCCTTATAGTACCCTTATAGGAACCTTATAGAAACCCTTATAGATCCCTTTAAGGGACCTCCTAAAGCCCTAGGGAGTCGGAGCCAAGGTGCTCGTCAGCAGCCTTCCGCCGGCGGAGATCGAGCTCTTTTCGACTCAGGAGCCTCGGGCGGCGGGCTAATTTCGTAGGGCTTTTAGGGGTTTTTAATTCGGGGGATGTCGGAAGTTCAGGGTTCAGGATTTAGGGGTTTTATTTGGGGGATGTCGGAAAAAGTTAGGGCTTTGGGGGTTTTATTTGGGGGATGTCGGAAAAGGTGGGGCTTTTAGGGGTTTTACTTGGGGGATTTCGGAAAAGGTAGAGCTTTAGGGGTTGAATTAGGGGGATGTCGGAAAAGGTAGGGCTTTCGGGGTTAATTAGGGGATTTCGAGAAAGTACAGGGTTTAGGATTGAGGGTTTCTTAAAGGGGTCGAGCTCCCTGCTATAATTATGCTATAAAGGAGCCCAAAACCTATTCTGACTATTGAGACTCCTGAATTGGTTCAGCTTAAAGCAGTACAAGGCTCAGGCTATGGGCTCAGGTTCAGGACCAAGCCGAAGACTGAAATCGCAGTCTCTTTACTTCTCCGTCTGTTTCGCATGTCTGCAGAAAGTTGCCACATGCATTCTGTTCAGTGCAAAAAGATTGCCCAAGTGGCAACTCTGAAAATTTGAATCGGTTGCTGACACAAGTCGAAGCATACAGTCTATTCCTTGCATGGCTTCCGACGGTCAGCAAGCTGTACAAGGGCCATAACTGTAAGCCAAAGCTGAAGGACTTCTAGAAGGCGTTCTCACACCACAACCTGTGCGATACTTCCGCAGTCACTCTGGTCCACATCGTTGAGGACGGAGAGGTCGAAGCCCTTTTGAGCTGCGATCGCCCTCACCTTCTGCACCAAAGCCTCGTCCCGCTTCTGCTCGCGCGTGAAGATCCACAGCCCGGAGTCATTGGTTCCCGATCCGGTCTTGCAGCCCTTCTCTGCAGGCAGGGTCGGTGCACCACCAGAGATCAAAGCGTAGCCTGCTCCCTCGTCGTAGTCTACGACCCAGTAAGGGCCCGCGAGGGCACTTGGCAGGAAGCAGGGCGCCACCTCCAATTTCCCACGGGCCTTGTCGACGACCTTGGCGCAAATCTTGCTGCCGGAGTCATGGACGGTGTGCGGGGGTGCGACTTCCTCTGCATGGTTGTGCACAGCCACGTCGTAGCCCAAGAGAGTCTTCTTGGGTTCAAGCTTGTACTCAGCATAGACGCAGCGGTTCTGGGACTTCGGCAGGTACTTGGTCTCCATCTGTTGCTGGATGTACCAGCGCTTGGAGATGAAACTGTCCAGGTCGAAGTCCTTCACCGTTTCGAAGCCAGACGGTGGGCACTGGGGTTGCGCCTGAACTGACAGGAAGTGCTGACTCATAGTCATGGTCTTCAGGCAATCTGCGGGGTTTTTCGAAGCCCCCAAGGACGGACTCACCGAGGTCTCAGTGATGGCGAAGTCCTTCTGGACAGGCTTGCACCCCTCGTGAGAGCCGCAGTAGAGCATGCGCAGGTTGCAGTAGTTGGTGGAGAAGTCGGCAACGGAGAAGACTTGACTTTCGCTGCAGCCCTGGATTTTGCAGGTGCCAGCAGGAGCATCCTCGAAAGTAAACTTCAGCTTGTCCGTGTACTTCTTGTTGCCTGTTGTTCGCTGGAATGCAAGCTCGGCCGCACCTTGCTCCTGCTGCGAGTAGGTGCCGTTGTTGTGCGGGTCATGCCATGCGCCGGTGCTGATGCCGGCCACACGTGCCTCCATCTCGGACATGACCTCCAAGCAAGTGGCATCCGCGGTCACGGAGACCTGGCAGCTGGCATGGACGAAGGATGCCGAGCCCGGACAGCTGTTGGCCACCACAGCCGGGGCAAAGGCAAGAGCCGCGATGATCTTGCGAGACATGGCACAAGAGGAAACAAACACTACTTCCGCGACACGGGACTGCTAAGGCCAGGAGCTTGAAGCAGCGGTTTCAGAAACCCTAATTCAAAACCCAAAACCTAAACCCTGCAGTGATGTGTGTGTGTGTGTGCGTAGCTTTCTTCTCCGTCTGTTTCGCATGCCTGCAGAAAGTTGCCACATGCATTCTGTTCAGCGCAAAAGATTGCCCAAGTGGCACCTCTGAAAATTTGAATCGGTTGCTGACACAAGTCGAAGCATACAGTCTATTCCTTGTATGGCTTCCGACGGTCTGCAAGCTGTACAAGGGCCATAACTGTAAGCCAAAGCTGAAGGACTTCTAGAAGGCGTTCTCACACCACAACCTGTGCGATACTTCCGCAGTCACTCTGGTCCACATCGTTGAGGACGGAGAGGTCGAAGCCCTTCTGGGCTGCGATCGCCCTCACCTTCTGCACCAAAGCCTCGTCCCGCTTCTGCTCGCGCGTGAAGATCCACAGCCCGGAGTCATTGGTTCCCGATCCGGTCTTGCAGCCCTCCTCTGCAGGCACAGTCGGTGCACCACCAGAGATCAAAGCGTAGCCTGCTCCCTCGTCGTAGTCTACGACCCAGTAAGGGCCCGCGAGGGCACTTGGCAGGAAGCAGGGCGCCACCTCCAATTTCCCACGGGCCTTGTCGACGACCTTGGCGCAAATCTTGCTGCCGGAGTCATGGACGGTGTGCGGGGGTGCGACTTCCTCTGCATGGTTGTGCACAGCCACGTCGTAGCCCAAGAGAGTCTCCTTGGGCTCAAGCTTGTACTCAGCATAGACGCAGCGGTTCTGGGACTTCGGCAGGTACTTGGTCTCCATCTGTTGCTGGATGTACCAGCGCTTGGAGATGAAACTGTCCAGGTCGAAGTCCTTCACCGTTTCGAAGCCAGAAGGTGGGCACTGGGGTTGCGCCTGCACTGACAGGAAGTGCTGACTCATAGTCATGGTCTTCAGGCAATCTGCGGGGTTTTTCGAAGCCCCCAAGGACGGACTCACCGAGGTCTCAGTGATGGCGAAGTCCTTCTGGACCGGCTTGCACCCCTCGTGAGAGCCGCAGTAGAGCATGCGCAGGTTGCAGTAGTTGGTGGAGAAGTCGGCAACGGAGAAGACTTGACTTTCGCTGCAGCCTTGGATTTTACAGGTGCCAGCAGGAGCATCCTCGAA